ACATACACGTACACACATACCCTTACACAGCAAATAAAGACTCCGACTCTGTTGGCCAACAAAATTAGCTAGTCATGCCAGTTGCTTGTATTACTTAGTATTAGTGTGTGATAATGTGGCCAACGCAGACAAATTTATTTCGTGCTGGCTCTCTGTAACCAGCGCGAGTTTCCGTTGCCTCTTGCGGCATTTTCTGTAGACCATTTTCAACTCTATGTATTATTTTCCGTTTTTTTCATTTTCTTTTGGATTTGTTGCATAGTTTCGTTACAATTTTTGGGGGCGGTAATGCGGGGTGTTGAGACGGACATCATCAAATACTGTCGCTTACATATGCATGTCTGTCGCTTCGGCGGGTCACTTGACCCAAATTTTGTTGTAGATATTTTAATTGACGTTTGATTGGCTCAGGAAGAGTATTATGTGTTGTACTTAATTTTGATGAGTTGTTCAAAGCAAAAGCATACTTGGCATAAAGTTAGACCTGCCAGAACAAATTTCATAATTATTGTAATTATCATTTTACCATATCTATGGCCACTTGCAGCTGTTTGGTATCAATTACGTATTTGTGATTCGTAAACTGCTAACTGCAAGGATAATTTTATGAGCCATGTAATAGTAGTTGCCGCGCACTTTCACACCTATAGCTTGCACAAAGACACACACACTCGAACACAAAATTGTTGCTTTTTAGTACAAAAACAAAAACCCTTCAATTGTAGACGAAGAAACTAAGAGCTCCATTCGTGTGCCACTTTTCTTATGCTCTCGCTCCCACACACATTCGCTCTATTTCCCACAGGCGTGCTCGCTCTCTCTCTCTCTCTCTTCCTCTCTCTCTCTCTCTCTTAGAGTCAGGTGTGTCGCATGCAGTTGAGGCACAAAACACACGAAGACGCAAACAGTTGCGCGTACGAGCTTCAAACGTAAGGATCGAAAGCAACTGTCGCGCGTGTTACCAGCTATTAAATTTAACGGTCTGCGCGCAAAAGTATGCAACAGAAAATGTTGTTCGAATTCAGTTAAAAATTGATCTGTGTGTAGCAAGCCGAAAGTTAAAGAAGCATGCAAATGCTAACTAACAAAAGCAAATGAATAAGCCAACATAACTGTCAAAATACATAAGTCTAAAATACATCAAGATATATTATATATATATATACATATATAGCATACAATTTTGGTGCTGTCATTGCACGCGTTATTTTGTGTTGATAATTACAAGTTTTTTGGAAAATTTAATGAATATTGATTGAATAAAAATATGTCGTAAGTGGAATAAAAATGTGTGTTACAATAAAAAATATAAGGGTCGTGGAGGTCATTATACGCGGCCCGCCGTTGCTCAGCGCATTCCAATTCATTATTACCGCAAACAAAAACAACAACAACAAAGCCCCAAAATACTTTAACTGTCCTACATATGAACTTTATGTATGTGTGTGCGTGTGTGTTTTGTATGCATGACACGCACACATGCGACAAACAAACACAACACAAGCACACAAGCACACTTCAACTTCAGCCTAGACACACATTAATAAAAGCTTATTTAGTACATAATTAACTTAATCATATTTATAATAAAAATATATATGTATTATGAGGGACTATTAATTTAATAAATATATAGGTTTCTAGAGCCTGTAAACATTAAAAATGGTTAAAAATCGGTAGAATATTTATCGAGCCTGTTATTTGTTAATAACATTTAAACTGGTTTTCTTTATATATATAAAAATTCAGTTATCTATTGTACAATTTAAACTATCTATGTATATTTATATCAACACTTGCAAAACATTTTCAAAAGAATCACTTCGAAGTCAGAATTTCAATTAACCCGAATCTTAAACTAAGCCAAAAAATAAAAAACTTATAAAATAATAAACTTATAAAGGATACTGAATCGAACTTGCTCAAGCTAATATGTAGAAAAAATGTAAATAGTTTCAATGCAACAGAAAATTATTTATTAAAAAAACTAGCTATGTCAATAAAATTTCGAAAATATACTACAGACCAGGGCTCTATCCAAATCATGTGTTCGATATCGCGAACCAAAATAAAGCCGAAGCACCTACCTTTTGTGTGTGTTGTTGCCCTAGATTATACACATACTTAAATTCTAGGGTATGCATGTGCATCTGAGCATTTAATTAGGTATAAGCTCTAATAGATTTATACGCATTGGCAGCATATTCCCAGCAACAGCTGATGACCTGCTTGTCGTAGATGTGGACTTGCACTTTAATTCATAATTATACATACATATGCATGTATGCTTGTGTGTGTGCGTGTGTGTGTGTGTGTGTGTTTGCGTGCTCGTATTGGACTGTATATAGCTGACAGGGACTCTCCTTGCTTGCACTGTCGCTAGCATTTTATTTTCATCGCGTGCGTGGCAAAACATTTTTACAGCCACAAAATGTCATTTTACGTTGTACGAAACTGAAAATTAGAAATGGGACAACAGACTTTTGAGGCTGAAACAAGGAAGGCAGAAAACAAACCAACAAACAAGCACAAACAAATGGGCGCGGTCCAATAAAGCTTTTCAGTTGTTCCACATTTAACTCTGTTTAAGTTAACTTTGTTTTATTTATTTAATTTATTTAATTTTTTATGTGCATACATATTATTTCTTGGAAAATATTAAGCACATACGATTCGGGGGAACTAGGGCAGGAGCATGCTGACAGAATCTCGAGCTTGAATTCAAATATATGCATAGAAAAAACTTTCAAAACGAATATATAACAAATTATAAGAGAAATTCTCAAGGATCATTTAATCAATTACCAGAGCATATATAAGTTCCGTTGTGGGCAGGCTCTACACCAAGCCGCAGCAAGAGCTGTCACCTCTTCTGGAATCAATATTTGTTTTATTTTTTTGTAAATTTTCTTTTTAGTTAAGTATAACACATGGCATTATAGATAGTACATAATAAATAATAGTTAAAAAAGGTACTTCTATGGTAAATGTATTATCAAGGGCCACATCGCATTGCTATAATTCTATTCATTGCAATTGCAATTAAAAAGGTCTGTCGTATTATTTTTATAGGAATCGATTTTGGGTTTCCTCAATTTGTTAGCATGTGGCTAACAAATAATATGACATTTGCACATAATCAAATAAATGTACATTTACATATATATTATGGTAGCGGATATTGCCAGGCCTTGCGCGTGGCAAGTTTTGTGCTTCAAATTTAAGATATAACTTTTAAAACCATTTTCCGCCTCTTGACAATTAAAATCTACTCGTACAATCTTGAGCTCAACCTCTAAGGTTATACTTTACATAAATAATTAAAACAATTAAGAGGCTTTAGTCGGGAACTCTCGAAAAGGGAATATCCTGAAACCTCTTTACTAACTCCAAATGCAGCTCGTTCGGATTTAGGATTTCGTTAAATATAATCGATTGGTTGGAAACGGAGAAAGTTATCGACTAGGAGGAGGACCCACATTTCACATTTCAAGTCTCCAGAACAGACATACGGACATGGCTAGATCGACTCAGCTGTTAATGTTGATCAAGATCATGGTTCTCAACGGTTTTCGGTTTACGAAAAGTGCGAAACACTTTCGAGATTTGTTTTTACACAGAGCATTGAAAATGAGGAGCCCGTCTAACTCTTACGTTTTAAATTATTCAGCCAGTCTGTAAATAATTATATCTGTAAATTCACGATTCTTTTTTTAAATCATCTATCAGTAGGCTAGAGATAAACTTTTTTATAGACAATCACTGAAAATCAGAAGAGCAGATATAAAGGTTATAAGCTTATCAACGAAACTTGCTTGCTGAAGCTTACTTGATTTAGTGAGAATCGCGTAGTAAGACAATATTTTGTTCATTCTCAACTCAACATTTACACTTATTTAATGTATATTTCAATATCAAACAACAAACATAAGATTGTAAAAGTTGTTACTTTTATTTTAAATATAATTAAACTGTTTAAAATACGTACCAGTATTTTCAATGGCATCCGCCAAAGCCATAGCCACAGCCTGCTCAATAATTGAATTCGGCTCCACCTTTATTCATGCTGCCGCCTTCTCTTCAGTTTCCGCCGGCATCATCTCTGCTCAAGTTGCCGTCTCCTCCAATGTTATTAATATTAAAGCAATCATTTTTATGTGCATGGTATAAAGCTGTGCTAGCAGCTAACAATTGATATCGAGTAAGAATGAAAATGATTCCAAATAGACTTAAATCAAGAACAGAAAATGAATCCGAACTCGCTTTTTAGCCCAAATTGCAATCTAGAAGAGGCACAATCTTTTTTCAAATGAGAAAGATCTTAAATGCAATTATGTAGCAAAATAATGGCAAACAATTAAATTATTAAAGAAGAAAACATGATGAAAATCGGTTTAGTTTTCGCAAAATTATTTCCGATATATAGCATAGTATAGAATTAGTATTGTAGTGTATTGCAGAGTATAATATAGTATAGTATAGAATAGTATCGTATATTATGCATTTAATATAGAAGGGTCACGTATAAACTTTAAAAAGGAAAAGAAAATTAAGTTCAGTAAAAATGAAATTGTTATTGTAGTTACGAGTATAGGTTAAATTATAAAAATGTTTAGTACTCAATAAACAATTGAACAGGTGTTCACAGCCAGGTGTTAACATACGCTGAGATAAGCGAGAGTTTTGTCGTTCTGTGGCTGATTAACGAAAACTCAACGGTCTGTCAGATTAGCAAATAGCATGAGTAATTAGTATTTAATGCAGCCTTGGCAACAATAAAAACTGACTTTAAGCCCAACTTGATGGAGCCAAGGCATATGAAAGACTGCCTAATCAGCTTATTATGGGTCGATTGGCCATATTGGATAGGTGAAAACCCATTTAAAACCAAATCGATGTACAATTCTAATACTTGCGATAAGATTAGCGCTATCAAGCACCTAATGGAGCTACCGACTACCGTCAGCCAATTATTGGCCAAGTTTCAGTAACGATTTGCCTGTGGTTGCGTTTAAATTGACTTGTGGTAACACACACATACTCGATGGAAAACCCGAACCTTATTATATTACTCGGCATCCTGTGCGCCCTGCTCAGTCCACAAGGTATACAAGTATACTAGGATAAACAGCAATTTAGAAAGCCCAAACAATTCCTGACTCCAACTAGAATTCGAACTCGAACTCGAGCTCGAGTAGCAAGCGTTGAAATCATTCTGTGAGCAATGGCCGTTAATTGAATTAAAGTTGTTGTTCAGTGCAAAACTAAACAAAGTGTGAGCCCAAATTGGTATACAAATAATAAAAAAACAAATAAGTAAAACAATAACAGCGAACAAGTCAGTCATAATATTAAACAACAAAAGTAATTAATGCAAACGCAATCAAGGTCAAGTGCTTTGCCCTATTGACCCAAGCACCCATCTTACCAAAACAAAAAATTGAACCAAGTGAGAATGTTCTAGTCGGGAGTGCCCGACTAGTAGATTCGCTTGAGCCAGCGCAAAGCACCTGTTAGAAACACTTTAACTTCCGTCTATACACACACACACACATTTCTTTCGCCCGTCGCACACTTTTCTTGATCAACGCAGGTGGTCCGATATTTGTGATATGTGCAGGGAATAAATATGACAATCCAAGACTATATCTCGAAAATTCAATTTTATCAATTTCAAGCTTGTGATATTTGTGATATTCAGAGCATGTGGCAGATATCGGTAAAAAGAAAAGACAATAAACTCCTTCTGCATATGGCATAGGGTATTAACGAATGTAAAAGGAAAGGAACAACTGCGAAATTCCTGCCCGAAGGCCTTACAGCTTGAGAAATAGTTTCGCAGGCCACGGAAAATGGAAATTAAAGTGCCAAAGTGACGAGCAAATTTCAGCGTTGTTGTTTGAACTGAAACGGTTCTGTATGCGCATTTAAATGCCCTCATAAAGGATGCATCAAATTTTCAATTTCAATTGTATCCAGGTTTGGTTTCTTATAAGCTTCTACAATTTGTATAAAATAATTCCATGTTTTATTTTAAGAATTAGTGTTATTCCTTATACTTATGTATGTCAAATATTTCGTTATTTTGTTTTTCGATAAGCTATATCTTAGGTATTCGTATTTGTTAGGGTATTTAGAGCTTCTTAAAATTAATGAAAACTGTTTTCGGTTTTTAGTTTTATTCAACAACAGCCGGAAGTTGCTGGCGTATACGTAATAAATTATTGCTAGCTCACTTGCGTGCTGGAAAGCGTAACAGTCGCAAAGTATCGCAAACATTAAAGCTGAATGTTGGATTTTAAATAAGTTAATTAACAGTTGGGCACATGCTTTTGATTACCTAAATATTGGGCAGGTTTACTTTGCAGCAACAGGGTAAAAGTTGTACGTCTATAAAAATATATCTGGCGTTTATTTCGACTTACAAAATCAGAGAAATCTTTTAATTTTATTTTTTTTAAAGTTCCTTTAGTCAACTAAAGTGGAAAAGAACAGATAGGTAAAATTGATTTTTATTGTATTTGGCTTAAGTCCAGATATGGATGATTAAACTTCTAAACATATCCACTTAAGCCTTATAAACTTTATTTTCCTATAGATGGTATTAAAATTTAGTCATGACATGTATAAAGCATGCTAGGGGACATCTACGAAATTCTAGTGTCTTGAATATTATCAACCAACGTTGCAAACCTGCTTTGAACCTAACCTAAAGCCAACTCAAACCCAACCCAAACACGGATTCGACTTGGATACGATTAAATATATATATATATTAAAAAAAAAAAAACTATAGCCGCAAATTTAAGCATTTTACATTTTAGTCAGTATTTTTTTAGTGCAGAAAATGTAAGCAAGATTGGTTAAAAAAAACACTGAAGAAATGGACGGCAGGTAATATTGGCAAGCCACGTCGCAGTTAACGTCAAGCTCTGGAATTTTCTTTATGCATGTTCTATTTTTTCACTCGCGATTGTATTGTATATGTGTGCTGTTATTTTATTTAAATTTCTGTCCCTTAAAACGACAATTTTACTCGTAGGATATGAAACGATGGCAAGTAGCTTTTCCTACCTTTACTGTATCCTTTTACCCAATAAAAAAGTAACAAGATCAGAATTGTATCATATATTCAAACGCTTTCGAGTTTGTAATGGTCCCGGTTTAGCTGACATACAACATAGATTAATTAAAAATAAGCAAAAAATGTAATTAACAACGGCCTACTTCTCATTCATATAGCTGGCATGGGAAGAATCGGCCAAAAAAAGAGTTCTTGTACGGAAACATTTTTCAGCTTTTTATCTAGCTTGACGAGGGTTGTTTTCATTTCTTCTCACAAGCATGTAGGCCATATCTTATACCGAAAATAGCTTTTCCTTCTTGTTTATAACTTATTGCTAATTTTTCTTAATTGAAACAAAATATGTTACCCAACTGAGTACAAAATCAATATGAAAGCATTTATAAATCAAATTTTATTCGGCTGTCCGTCACAAAAGCAACTGCAATTATATTCAATTTCCAAGCATTTTCAATTATTAAAGCAGCCAAGTTAATTTGGGACAAGTATTGTCATGAGAATTGGTCGATATTGTTGAGCAATGGCGTCAAAGGCCTACAAATAGACAATGCGGGGCATATGTAAATCGGTTAAATGGTCAATGATATATGCATATTTAATTGATTGCAGGCGACGGCGGTGCATTGGCTGTATTTTGGCCATGTGAAAGCGATGCGGACTGCACAGCTGATGGCTCTAGCTGTGACCCAGACACGAGTCTATGTGAATGTCCCAGTTTCGATGAGGTCTTCTCCGAGAACTATACGCAATGCCTGACGACCTCGCTGATTGGTGACGCATGCCAAGACTCAGTTCAATGCAATCTTATGCCAACGGGAGCCAGTTGTAAAACCGGGGTCTGCGATTGCGCCGATGGCCAAATCTATCTGCGTGGCAAGTGTAGGCCAGTGAATGGACTCAACGAGCCCTGCGAAACGGTGCGACAAATAACTTGTTATTCAAATGAAACTCTTTGACAACTAATCCTCATCAACATTTGCAGGACTTGGACTGCTATTTTGGCTACGATCGAGCATCCGTTAGCTGTCAGGATAGCGTTTGCGCCTGTGCAAATGGCTATTATCACAGATATGGAAACATATGCCGTCGCAAATCAATGGGTAGCTTAACTGTACATTGCTGGTTAGTTTGATTAAATTAAATACATATTTGGTTTTAGAAAAAAACGATGCTTGCGTCGTTGATGCGGACTGTGATGCACTGGGCGCCGGTGCCGCCTGCGTGGGTCTAATATGTAACATTGTAGATGAGCAGACCACCACGCCCGAGGATAACGGTACTGGGACCACAGCAGAGGATAACGAAACAACCGAAAACGAGACCGAACCGAATCCAGATACAACAGAACCGGAGTCCAGTGCCACAACAATTATACCCAATAGCTTGGTGCGCGAAAAAAAGCAATTTGCCAAAGCTTTTGTTCATGCCACGCCCACACATAAAGATGCCGCCGCCCAGGCTACACTATTACTGACCAATGGCGATGGTGAGTTCCGGTTGACGCCACGTCATTCCCGTGAAATAGCCGTCCAGACGAGCATCGAGAAATACGAACTCAAAGAGCTGGGGCGCAGTTTTCGAAATGTGGCCACAGCTACGACAACCACCTCGACTAGCGCCAGCAGCCGGCACACCTCCACCAATACCCAGAACTATCGTCGCCGATTACCCGCCATCTTTCGCTATGATAATGAGGATATTAAAACATATTCCACGCTGGGATCAAGTCGCGATGACGACGATGTCGATGACAAAAAATGTGAGTAGAATGATAGAGTATGGTAAATTTTTGAAAAATAGGTGAGACTCGTACCTTTTTGAAAAACTAACTAAAAACTAAAATTTCTAGTACATAATTATAAATAATGTACCATCAAAATGGTAATTGCCATTAAATACTTGAATACTTAACACGACTCTTTTCTAAGTATTATTGCAAATCTTAAGATATAATTCGTATATGGCTTTATTTTTTCATAATTTTCAAACAGATGACAGCTACGTGTCTTATAGTTTTAATTAATTAATATAATGATTTTATTTAATTAATAGACGGCAGCAGCTGCACGGATAATGGCAAATCATGCACCGGCCTGGCCCACTCGATCTGCACAAACAAGATCTGCCTGTGTAGACAGGGCTATTATCCGCGGAATGGTAAATGTTTTGCAGGTAAGGGCAGCCCATGAAATATTGAAATTTACGCATTTGTATAGCAATTTGTTTCCTTTGGCAGAGCTCGGCGAGATAGCGGAGAGCAGCGACGAATGTGAATATGAGTTTGATCATTTGTCCAAGACTTGTATATGCCAAAAGAACTATTTCTACGAACGCGACCTGCGCAACTGCAGAAAACGTGAGTAGGAATTGAAGTAGGCAGAATTAAAAATATATATTTAATTTACGCTTACTTCTGGCAGCCATTCAGTATCACCTATCCTGCACATCGAACAGCCAATGTAGTCCCTATGGAGCCTCCTATTGCCATCCGCAGATACCCAGACGCTGCACGTGCGAGGAGTACGCACAGTACAATGAAATCTCGCAGCTCTGTGAGTACAAGGATGGCTTGGGTGCCGAGTGTGAGTCAAACGATGGCTGTGTTGTGGATCATTCCATTTGCTCAAATCGCTTCTGTGTGTGTCGCGACAACTATTTCGAGAAGAACGAAGCTTGCGTGCCAGGTCAGTTAAGATTCAGGCAGCTGGTACATCATCTATAAACAAATGTATATATCTACATTTCGTGTATTAGGCATTGGAGCCGAATGCTCAGAGGATGATGAGTGCATGGCTGAGAATACGGCATGCCTGGATCGCAGCACTAGCAACTCAGCCAAAGATTCGGAGCCGACGCGCTCCTGTCAATGCCGCAAGGGGTATGTGCACTTCAAGGATGAATGCCTCAAGGAAGGTAAGTGTCCCATGAGAATTCCTTCAGTTAGCTGTTGTAAACGTTATGCCTATAGCCGTGGAACTGGACGATGAATGCATCGATGATGAGCAGTGTAAACCCCTTCTGGCCAGCTGCAATGCGGAAGGCAAATGTGGCTGCACCGACGAGCAGCACGAGAAGAACGGAATTTGTGAAACGAAACGCCGTAAGCTTCAATGTGTAATAATATTTTAATTGAACTGTTCATACAAAGGCTGTTGTTGTTGTTTTTTTTTTTAGTGCTAAACGAGCCCTGCACAAAAGCCACAGAGTGTTTTGTTGAAAAGGATCCTGAGAATGTGGAATGCCGCAACTCCGTCTGTCAGTGTAAATTTGGTTATCAGGCCAGCACTGAGCAGAGGCAATGCATACGTGTAATGCCCAACAAAAAGAGTAAGATGAAAACTGCCAACTTTATATAATTTACTATATATATTACACATACTATCGGATATTAGTATATTGCGTAGGTCATCCAATTTTTTGCTATGATTTTATTTTTCTATAATTTAGACATTTTGTAAAGGATAATCCTAAGAATTTTAATATAATTCATTTAGATATTTGAAAATATGGGTTGAAGTTCATTCTTTAACAATAGTCTTAGATCTTAGATGTTTCAGAGATTTCCATCCAAGAGGGGTGAATTCTCGGAAAGGGTGAGCCGCGTTCCAAATTAGTTTGACGTTTAGCCAATGACAAATAAAAGTTTCACAAATTTTTCTCAGTTATGGATGGATTTCCATCTTACCATCTTAAATCTCATCAATAATAGACAGTTTTATATTCGGAGAAATTAATTAATAAAAATAATGTTCTATTTCCACAGATTCTTCCGGTAGGCCCAGCGCTCTTAAAATCATCACATTCGTATTGATAGGCTCCGCTTTTTTGATAACCAGCGCGGCCATTAAGCAGGCGTATTACTAAATGGAAAACTTCTCCCCCGCACCCAAAAGCAACTTTTTTTGTATTATTTAACACAGATTTAATATTAATTGTAAATGTTAAGAGTTGTGAACAATTCCCTGTGCATATATTGACGCCATATAAACTGGATAAAACTGACCCGGTTGCAGTCTTTTAAGGCGCATGCAGTATTAATCAATAAGGCGTGGCATGCATATATTAATTAACATTATATTAAGCTAACATATAGAATTTCAAGCAATAAATGATAATGCATAATCAGTGAGATATTTGCTCGCTTCTATCAATTAACTATACCTTAAGTAAAACTTAAAATTAAGGTTGATCAAATGTTGCGAAATTGACAGCAAAATTGTAAAATATGCGCTAATAAATTAAGACTTCAATACAAGTATATGAGAAATGGAATTATCTATAATATTATATGATCTATCAGTATAAATTTAAAGCAATATCCTTAGAAACTCTAAGGTTTCTTCCCATTCGGGTAAGTGGAAATGTAAACTTGTTTAAAATATCAAAATAAAATATCCATATCAAATGAATACAACATTTTAATATATTACCGTTAGACCAAAGACAATATGAACACAGTGTTTATACGGCGGGTATACATTTAATAATTCCGATTTTAATCAAACTGTGCAAAAGTGTATAAACCATAGTACAAATATATTCGAGCGATAGTTCCTATCAGCTTTAGTGGTGCAATTAAAACTCTTAAAACCTCCATAAAATTCAAATTTATCAAGTTATTATAACCATAGTTGTTAAAAACAAAAAGTTCATCATAAAAATTAAATTCGTACCAATATTGTTCGATTAGGAGAACTCCCCCTCTCATGTCTGAATTATTATTAGATTCTTATTTAAATAAGGGTATATATAAAAATGTAAATATATACTTAGTATTAGTAGGAGGAGGATAGTGCTACGTGCTACTTGAATGCATGAGAATCGCATAGTAGGGCATCTCTTGAAAATACTTTTTTATTATAGAGCGGCATGCATGAAAACGTGAAAATACTTACATACTTTCTTAAAGACATGCATAAGAATTTATATGGACACATATGCAGCTACATACATGCATAAATATATACATTAATAAATATATGCATACATAAGTACACAAACGCATACATGCTTACAAACTTACATTCAATTATACATACATTCGTTCATGCATACAAAGAAATATGCATATATACATTCATGTATGCATACCAGAATACATCAAAGCATACATACATACATTCATACATATAAGACTGCATATTAACATACTTGCATGCATAAACACATACGCGCATGCACATATGTGCGTGCATAAAACATGCAAGCATAAATACATGCATGCATACAAATATTTACACATGATACATAAATTCATTAATAAGTACATGCATATAAATACATCCATCCATTGATGCATACATAAGAATATTACTACATGCATGCAGGCATATGTACATTCATATATACCAGAAAGGAAGTAAGCTTTATCAGTCTTTGGTAAAAGTGAAAATATATAACAGACAACCTGGCGTTGCCCGGCCCAAGCTGATATCTTCGCAGTTGAAAATTCTCGTCCGTGAAATTATTTAAATTAAGATAATAAGAGATAAATCACCAGATGAAACAGATAATTGACAGAAAAACAAGAAACTCATCAACTCTGTGGGAGAGATAGACACAACTCGTAACATGTTTCAAGTCAAATATATTTTAAATGCAAGAACCTAACGCTCTTTTAGCTGCACCCAAAAATCTGGAGGCGTTATAATTAAGCCACTGTTATTCTTGGTTAGATCTGGTAGTGTATCGCCGGGCGCCAGGGTATAGTCGAAGTTCTGCAGCATGGCTGTGGTCATCAGGAAGAGCATGTTCCGTGCAAAGGTCTCGCCGGCACACAGACGCTTGCCGGCGCCAAAGGGCAGGGATACGTCCAGCTTGAGGCACAATTGACCCTGATTGTCCAGAAAGCGTTCGGGCCGAAACTTTTCGGGATCCGACCAAATGCGTTTGTCCATGTGATAGGCATACAGGCTGGGTATGATAACAGTGCCCTGTGAAAAGATAAAAGAGAAGTTCGATAGCTAACGCAATTTCGTGAGATCATCTTATTAACGCACCTTAGGTATGCGATAGCCCATCAGTTCGGTATCGTTAAGTGCTTTGTGTGGCACATTCGATGGCACCAATGTCTCAATGCGCAGATTTTCACGTATGGTCGCCTCCGTATATGGCATATTCTTGCGATCCTCCAACGTGGGCAAACGTCCGCTGCCCACCACCTCATCGATCTCGCGTTGTACGCGTTTCGCGACCTCGGGATAGAGCATCATGTACTGGACAATCAGTGACAATTGGGAACCAATTGCCGTGAAGGCGGGAAATGAGAAGTCGACGAGGCCCATGATGAATTGCTCCCGATTAAAGCCATATTCTTCGGGCAGGCCCTTTTTCATCTCGGCTATATAGAGATCCAGAAAGTTGCGCTCGCTGCAGTCATCATAGCTATCAATGTGACGATCCACAAATTCCGAAAAGTAGGCACGTACATATAAATTTGCCTCATTCAACTTGTTATAGCCGCTCGCCTCCGGCCAGATGTATCGTATCCAGGGTATTATGCTCAACAATCTGCCGTAGTCGTCCGCATTGCGCTGGAACTGTAAGCCCAACTGAACAAGCTTCACTAACTTGGCCATTTCAGACCGGGCCAGGCGCTCGTTGTACAAAATGTGAAAGTGACTATTGGCCGAGAAGGGATTAAAGAGCAATGGCAATTGCACCCGATAACCGCCCGGCTTTACCAGATGATGCTCGTGCTCATAGCGCGGACCGTTGCGAATCATGTCCAGCATATCGGTTATTTCCTCCTTAATGATTAGCTCCAACTGATCGAAACGACGACCGAAACCGAAGTCGCGCAGATAACGTAAGATAAAGCGTCGCTGTTCTTTCCAGAGTATTCCTTCCTGAAAGAATATGCCTAGAAATAACATATGAACGATTATTAAATATATATACGATTATAATCAAACTAGTGCAATCTTCTGTTTTTATTTTGACCCTGAACCCGTATAATGTGCAAGTGTACGTAACAGGCAAACGTAAAAAACTCTCATCCTATAAAATATACATAGTCTTCGACAGCATCAAGAGCCAAGCAGAATAGCTGCTCCCCGTTCATACGGTTGTGTTAGACTAAAAAGAGTAGAGTTCATAAATGCGAAACTAAGTCCCACTCCCCCCCTCCAAGACCGCTTCGCACAAATTCGGGTGCCACATAAATGGGCTTGAAAATTTGTAAAGGATCCGACCGTAAACAGCTAAGCTCTTACAGGGTATCTCTGAGTCAAGCATTCCTGACAGCACTTTTACTTGTTCTCTATACTGTCGGGTTACAAAGGTTTACTGACTTATTATATCAGACCACCAATGCTTATCGGCACCTAGCTGGCTGGCTATAGCAGTACTTCCGAAACATTTCGAGAGGGACCTATTAAATTCCAGATAATGATAAAGTTTTCTGTTCGAATAAGTGAAAGTGCTGTGGTGGAGAATGCTCGACTACAAGATATCCCGCAGCCATCTCCGAAAGATTAAATGTTTAGCTTCTTTATTTATCGGATCGTTATGAAAGTTTTAGGATGGTATTTAAGATGTAAACAAAGATCCACAATGCAAAAAATTAAAATCGAACTTACTTAATCGGTTTATATACAAGGAGATGGGCTGAAACCAAACAATGTATTATAAAGGAGTAAGTTAAATATTATGGGAATATCATTATATATATCCTACGGGAGATTATTGATCTTCTGTTATCAAAATTTTTTAAAACAAACCTCGCACACAATCGCCAGGATCACGCATTTTGCTCAGAAAGAGGGGAGGTCGTCCATCGTAGGTCTGATCGTTTAATATTTCGCGCACACCTTCTCCGTTGTGCACCACGGCCACAGGAAAACAGCCGACAAATAGACCAATAATGTCCGATTTGTACCACTTGCTAAGTATTAAAGCAGCCTTGTGTAGATATTTGTAATCGATCAGAAGCATAAAAAGATAGCTTCCAAAAATGGGCAGTCGCGGTGGACCTGCAAGGATAAATGCCAGTTAATCACACGCGAATTTCGGGTGAACCGCTTTTGCAAACCGGGCGGAAAGCCTGCAGGACGACCGACTGCATATTTATAAGACAGATATAGAAATATGATCGAGCACAATGCCAGCAAGAGAGCAGTTAACATTTTGCACGCGCTCCGATTTAAGTTCAGGGCAATACTGATCTATTCGAATCAGCGACACAGCTATATAATAACAATTGCCTGATAATGTTATATATTGGATTTGTTTTAAACTTAGAAATCGCAGACATTTTTGCAATTATGATTACGATTGCGATTTCACAATCTGTATATGTCGAACTTCAGAACTGTGGTCCGATATTATATGCATACAAAGAAATATGCATATATACATTCATGTATGCATACCAGAATACATCAAAGCATACATACATACATTCATACATATAAGACTGCATATTAACATACTTGCATGCATAAACACATACGCGCATGCACATATGTGCGTGCATAAAACATGCAAGCATAAATACATGCATGCATACAAATATTTACACATGATACATAAATTCATTAATAAGTACATGCATATAAATACATCCATCCATTGATGCATACATAAGAATATTACTACATGCATGCAGGCATATGTACATTCATATATACCAGAAAGGAAGTAAGCTTTATCAGTCTTTGGTAAAAGTGAAAATATATAACAGACAACCTGGCGTTGCCCGGCCCAAGCTGATATCTTCGCAGTTGAAAATTCTCGTCCGTGAAATTATTTAAATTAAGATAATAAGAGATAAATCACCAGATGAAACAGATAATTGACAGAAAAACAAGAAACTCATCAACTCTGTGGGAGAGATAGACACAACTCGTAACATGTTTCAAGTCAAATATATTTTAAATGCAAGAACCTAACGCTCTTTTAGCTGCACCCAAAAATCTGGAGGCGTTATAATTAAGCCACTGTTATTCTTGGTTAGATCTGGTAGTGTATCGCCGGGCGCCAGGGTATAGTCGAAGTTCTGCAGCATGGCTGTGGTCATCAGGAAGAGCATGTTCCGTGCAAAGGTCTCGCCGGCACACAGACGCTTGCCGGCGCCAAAGGGCAGGGATACGTCCAGCTTGAGGCACAATTGACCCTGATTGTCCAGAAAGCGTTCGGGCCGAAACTTTTCGGGATCCGACCAAATGCGTTTGTCCATGTGATAGGCATACAGGCTGGGTATGATAACAGTGCCCTGTGAAAAGATAAAAGAGAAGTTCGATAGCTAACGCAATTTCGTGAGATCATCTTAT